AAATTTAGAAAGTCCATGGAGAAGAAAAGGAAGCCATGATGCTCTAGGCATTTTGCCAAACAAACTTAGTGTAGGAACAAGAGACTGCATGACTACCTTCTTTGTCATAGACAGCAATGCCAAGTACAATGCCTTACTTGGTAGAGATTGGATCCACACCAACAAATGTGCACCTTCTTCTTTTCATTAGAAAGTGATGATAACCCTAAGTAATGGGGAAATTGAAGAAATAAACGCAGACCCACAACCCTTCATTGCATGTACAGACTTTACAGAAGCAAAACTGTACACTGAGGGCGTGGTTCTACTTAGTGTGCTGAGGAAGTCTGATGTAACAGCCAAAGTGATGGCCGATGAGGAAGTAGCACACTTGAAACACTTAGTACAAAAAAGTGCTGATGATGAGTACACCGTGAATAATGCCAATAATGCCTGGTTATAGGCAGGAAGGTCAAGAAGCCAGACCATTGGCTTTAGTCAAGTTCTTCATGTTAGTCATTGATGCAATAATTTAGAAAGTCCATGGAGAAGAAAATGAAGCCATGATACTTGGCTATAGATATGAGCAATAGAAGGCAAATCATTGGCCCTAAGTAAGTATTGTGCATTGGGCATTGAGACTAAGGTCGAAGAAATCCAAGAAGAAGAAGCTTTATGGACAGACTTTGTCTATGAAGAGGAAAATAAGGATGTTGAGCTAGGATGGGTTGTGATAGACCAAGAGGAAAAGATTATTTCGAAGCTCGAAGAAATTGAAGGAGAAGCATCGGTGTGCACTCAGATGCAAGGCCCTTTGGAAGAAGTTAATTTAGGAGAAGCTTCAAAACAACAACCTACCTACATCAGTGTTTGGTCGGACTCCATTGCCAGGGACCAATTATTAGTTGTCTTGAAACAATATAAGGACTATTTTGCTTGGTCATACAATGATCTACTTGGATTGGACAGGTGATTGGTGGAGCATAGACTTCCAGTCAAGCCAAACTTTAAGCCATACAAGCAAAAACCTAGAAGAATAAGTCTTGAGGTGGTTCAGAAGGCAAAAGAGGAGATTGCTAGGCTTCTCAAAGAAGGTTTTATTAGAAATGCCAAATATGTCGAGTGGTTATCTAATATTGTGCATGTGATCAAGAAGAATGGCAAATTGAGGGTATGTATTGACTTTAGAAATCTGAATTTGGCAACCATAAATGATGAGTACCCCATGCCTATAGTTGATTTATTGGTGGAATGTTTAGTAGGACATAGAATCTTGTCTATGATGGATGGACACTCTGGCTTCAACTAGATATGCATAATAGAGGAGGATATTCACAACATAGCTTTCAGGTGTCCTGGTAATATTGGAACCTTTGAATGGGTTAAGATGCCATTTGGGTTGAAGAATGTTAGTGCAACATACTGGACGGCAATGAACACTATCTTCTATGATCTCATTGGAGGATACTTGGAATGTTGCATTGATGATATTGTTGTCAAATCTCAGTCTATGGAAGAGCATCTAGTCCATCTGACAGTAGGCATCAAAAAGGATGAGGAAATTCAAGCTAAAGCTCAATCCACTCAAATGTGCTTTTGGGGTATCAGCTGGAAACTTCTTGGGGTACACGGTGTCATGACCCAAACCTGCCCCTAAACGTTTGGACATGACTGGCCTGAGCTTAGGCCTCAACTTTGTTATCTTAAATTTTACTCAATATTGAGGCCTGAACCAAAGCAAAATAATAGAATAAAACATTCATTGAGCTGTGACTAAATGCCAGGATCATAATGCATTACCATACATAAGTACATAACATTCCATACACCATTCACATTGACTGAATTTGTAAAAGGATAACAACCCAAAAGTTAGGTATTGACAATATGTATATATATGTCTATTCTTCCAAATACGGACAAAACATACCATCATACGGATTTCCTAAAAATAAAACAAAAGAGTCACTTCGGGTGACTCAGCAAAACGGGTCCAACAAAAGGCTCCTGGGCTAACCTAAGGTTGTCCTGCAGGCTGGTTACCTACAAAACATCCATAAAAAAGGAGTGAGCAAGGCTCAGTGAATAATAGTAATACAAACAGATTAAGAGTGCAAGCATAATTTAGCAGTGCATGTTTATAAATCATAAGTTGGTCTTATTCTTATTTCCTTTTCTGAACAGCCTTGGGCCCACATAAGACAGAACGGCCTTAGGCCCAACGTAATATAGAATGGCTTTAAGCCCATTATAATATCAAAACAGCCTTAGGCCCAACGGAATACAAAACGGCCTTAGGCCTATTATTATAGCAAAACGGCATTGGGCCCAATGAAATACAGAACGGCCTTAGGCCCATTATAATAGCACAACAGAGTGACCTCGGGTCCACATCTCCTGTGCCAATGTTCAATCATTCTAATTGCTCCATCAAACATAACTCATCTAACATAAGTTATTAACTAAAAGAGTGAATTAAGTATTGAATAACACACAGTCTCCCTTGAAATTTTAGTACTGAATTCTCAATCTTAAACTCGGGCTTTGGCTTTGTTTCCATTTCATTACAAATTTTCTGTAGGAATTCATCTTCCAATTGTCGTTGCTTGATATCTTCCATAAATGTCGGTTGGGCTGATATCGTTGCTACTATCGCATTTTGGCCATGTAACACAAATTCCCACATTTATTCTTTCTAAGTCACGTAGTAGCTCCTTCTGCCTCGTGAGCAAACTTGCTAAATTCCCCATACCCTTTCGACTAAGGGCATCTGCAACCGTGTTAGCTTTACCGAGGTGGTAATAGATTTGTAGGTCATAGTCTTTAATGAGCTCTAACTACCGTCTTTGCCGCATATTCAACTCCTTTTGGATAAAGAAGTATTTAAGACTCTTATGATCGGTATAAACTTCACATGTAGTTCCATACAAATAATGGCACCATATTTTCAAAGCAAAGACCATTGTAGCTAGCTCAAGGTCATGTGTGGGATAATTCTTTTCATGGGGTTTAAGTTGGCGAGAGGCATACGCAATAACCCTCCTATTTTGCATAAGTACATAGCCTAAACCTTTGTAAGTAGCGTCACTATAAATGTCAAATCCCTCTGTACCAGATAGTAAGGCAAGAATAGGTGCTGTAGTTAACCTCGTCTTCAACTCCTGAAAAGCAGATTCTCGTTGTTCTGACCATTCAAACAAAACACCTTTCTGGGTTAATTGAGTAAGCGGCACCACGATTTTGGAAAAGTCCTTAACAAATCTTCAGTAATATCTGGCTAAACCCAAGAAACTACGCACTTTTGACACATTAGTAGGAGTCGGCCAATTCACAATAGCTTCGATCTTGTGCGGATCAACAATAACACCCTCCTTCGTTACTACATGTCCCAAAAACCCCAGTTCGTGTAGCCAAAACTCATATTTCCTTAATTTTGCATACAGTTTCTTATCCCAAAGAGTCTGAAGAATTAACCGTAGGTGGTTCTCATGGGCTTCCATACTTGTTGAGTAAATGAGGATGTCGTCAATGAACACGACCACAAATTCATCCAGGTAGGGCTTAAAATTCGGTTCATTAGATCCATGAAGGCCGCTGGCGCATTGGTAACCCCAAACGGCATAACTAGAAATTCATAATGTCTGTAACGGGTTCAGAAAGCAGTTTTCTCAATATCCTCAGCTTTAACTTTTAATTGGTGATACCCAGATCGCAAATCTATATTAGAGAGGACTTGTGCACCCTGTAATTGATCAAACAAATCATCGATCCTAGGTAAAGGATACTTATTCTTTATGGTTACTTTGTTGAGCTCTCTATAATCCACACACAACCGAAAGGTCCCATCTTTCTTCTTTACAAAAAGGACTGGTGCGCCCTAAGGAGAAATGCTCGAGCGAATGAACCCTTTGTCGAGGAGGTCTTGCAATTGGACCTTCAACTCTATCATTTCAGCGGGTGACATTCGATAAGGGGTTTTGGAAATGGGTTGAGTTCCCAGCACTATATCAATTGTAAACTCAATCTCGCGATCAATTAACTCCCTCGGTAACTCTTCTGGAAAAACATCCGGAAAATCATGAACAATTAGAATTGCATTAATGCCCCTATCCACTGGTTGTCCACCCAAAATACTACATAAAAACCCTTGACAACCTTTTTGTAACAATTTACATGCCTTTATTGCGGAAATCAAATAAGGTGGGGAAATCACTCTCTGCCCCTTGAAAATAAACTTAGGTTGTCCTGGGGGTTGGAAGGTAACTTGTTTCAACATACAAGCAATAATCGCATGACATTCACTTAGCCAATCCATTCCCAAAATTATGTCAAAATAAGCCATGTCAAGAGGTAACAAATTGGCGCCTACCCGAACATCCGCAATTAGGAGTTCACATGCACAATAAATAGACGCACATACCGTAGACTCCCCCGACGGTAAGGATACACACAAAACATAAGGTAGCGGTTCCATAGGTCTATTTAAATGACTAGCAAATGCCTTTGATACAAAGGAGTGGGTAGAGCCCGAATCAAACAACACAAATGCGGAATAACCATTAACAGAGAATGTACCTGATACCATAGCCTCGGTATTCTGCACGTCCCCTGGAAGTAGCGCGAATACGCTTCCCTATTTAGCGGTATCTTTAGCATTGGCAGGTTTCGTAGCTGCCTTTGTGGTTGGGGTTGGAGTCGAACCAGTTGAACTTGTGGTAGCCCTATTCCCATTCTGCCGATCTTTTTGCGGGCATTCTCTGGCTAAATGACCTGTCTTCACACACTTGAAGCATACCCCTATTACCCAAAAACAAGTCCTACGGTGTCTCTTTCCACAATTCAAAAAAATTGGTGCCGAGTCACGGGTAGAGGCGGATATACTAGAGGTTCCCGAATTCAATTTCTTACTTGGTGCCACTGAACCCCTGGTGACTTGGGTATTCTGTCTCTTCCCTTTCCACTCTGAGACCCAGCTTTGAGCGGCAATATTACCCTCAGCGATTATTGCCCTTTCCAACACATCAACATACGTAGGTAATTTCAGCACATTGATCCGGTCCACCTTCAAACTTTCTTTCCTTCTTGTAGCTCGTATCCACCATATGTGGTGCGAAACGGGCCAATTCAGCAAATTGAGCCTCATACTCTGCAACAGTCCTCTTCCTTTGTCTCAAGGTCTCCAACTCGATCACTTTCTTGTCTCGCATACATTGGGGGAAATACTTTTCATAGAACAGCTCCAAAAATTTGGCCCATGTTAACCCTTGATGTGCAGTTCTTGTGAGCATCCACCACCTCCATGCTTCGTCTTCAAGAGTGAAGGCAACAAGTTGTACTTTTTGGGCTTCAGTACAAGGAAAAACCTCAAATAACTTTTCTATACCCAACACCCACACTTCTGCTTTCATTGGTTCAATTCCCTATTTGAACGAGGGCGGCTTCATCTTTTTGAATTCCTTCATGAGCGTAATTGTTCGATCCTTAGCTTGGTAATCTTGTACCTCTGGTGGTGGCACAGGTACTGGTGGTGGTGGTTATTGCTACTGCTGTTGTTGCCTCAACGTTTCTACCATCTCCATAATCATCCTTTCCATTCTATCCAACAGTACGGAGGTAGAATCTTTCGGATCATCCGTTCTTGTCCTCACCATGATCTACGTAACAGCTAGTTATAATACATACAAAAATACACAAGTAGGCATGGACCATAGTCATTACCAAGATACATGTCAATGATTATTTCATGTACAATCTAGCTACTATATATCATTTTGTATGCACCAAAAGTCACATGCATGTAACTTAAGTCTTTTTTAGATGCCCTAAAGCTCAATGAACTTGTGTGTGAGGTAATAACTCGTGCTCTGATACCAACTGTCATCACCCAAACCTGCTGTAGCACGCGCCCGCGAGGGGCCCTCGCTACAGTTCGGACTCGATTTTGTTTGCGGTCCCAAATCTGAACCAAAGAGTCCAAATCCGGCAAATCGTTTTGAGAAACAGATTTTTGAAAAGAAGTGCCAAACATGGACTACTTTGCCAGATACTGAGTCGCCACCTAAATATTTTTTATGAGGGAATTTAGGAAACCCTGACTCGGTGCCAAAGGCCACGTGTCCGTCATCACCAAAGTTGCCTCGGCTCGGGAACTTGGGTACGATCGGGGAAGGTCAGCTATGAGCAGCCCCTCTCGCCCAGTCCGAAGACCGGCCTCTACTAACCGTGATATTCTGTTTTGAAAACGTTATGTGCTCTTGAACTGGTTATTAGCCTAGAATTACTATGTTATGCGCACAGCAAACAAGTATAGACTAGATTGCCTAATTTGGGAATAAGCATTGCATATCCGTTTGTTTTTTGAAAATGTTTTAGAATTTGCTACTCACAAGTAGGCTAAAATACGGATTTCAACGAGCTTTTCCAACTCAGACAATCCAACCTTCACCCACAGGCATTCAAACAGTTTATCACATAAGCATCTAGCCACATGGTAAGCATGCTGTCATAATAGCATTCACATGCATGCGATATGCTAAAGCATGAAAATACTTACATCGTACTCCGTGCCAAAATAATAAACTGGTTAGCAATCAATGCATGATCCAAGTCCATGTTTAAATGTCTAATGCAACGCATACGGAATGTCACTAGAGTAGGCTCGGCTATTCTATGAATGACGTGTGAAAATGCACAAGTAGCATGTATTCAAGTTAGATTTGAAATACTAATGTAGTTAGCAAGATGCGCCGAGCCCGGTGCATGCAATACTGATGAATGATTCACGCATGCATAGCATACGGTATGCTAAATTGAACATGACCTATTACTAACCATCAAAGCAGGTAAGTAAAAGGGAGAAAGAAGTGGGGGTTGGAAGACATGCACACACTCACCCACACTTATTACAAATTCGCCCTCGCTCGGAGGGACCGAATAAATATTACAGATAATTAACCTACAAGCTAATTAAATATTACAGGCCATCTAATTAGCTAAGCAAATTAACTAATCTAGGGAAAGTAGATAAACTGCCTCAGGAAGAGAGCCCAATGCAACGCATGCTCGGTCCTGCTCGGAAGTACACTGCCATGCGCAAGCTGCCTCTGTTTTCCCTGCTATACTCCTTTGAAGACTGCCAAAGTCTCAGGATGTGCTTACTGGATGTCGAGGAGTGCCACCGGCTGGAGGGAATCATCACCGGCTGTGGTTTGGTGTCCTTCGGCGCACAATGAATCCATCGGCCACAGATTTATTGCCGATCGGCACTCTATGCAGTCGATCGGCAAGAAGTTACTGCAGAACCTGTTTGACAGCAGCAGAGGACCGAACTTTGCGTGGCAATGTAATTCAAGCCATATATGCACCAATCATGTCCCTTATCATGTGAGTGACTCAAAGGGACATGGTCCTTGGTTCTTGGACCATCAATCGCGCATTTCCATGCGTGATGGCCCAAGGGACCAAGTGTGAACACTTTGATGTCAAATGCAATGCAAACCAACAAACTAAAGCCCAATTCCTATCACTAGATCAAGGAACAAGACATGCATGCTAGATGCAATGCAACCTAGGCATGTAAGCTAAGGATGCAACATGAGAATGCAAGATGTACATGCAAGCATGTAAACAAACATGCAAGGTAAGCATGTAAGCAAGCAAAGGATGGACTTAAGCATGATTTAGGCAGCTCTAATTAGGCCCAAAACAGTGGCCATAAGTGCTATGGAATGAGGACTAATGGCATGCAAACATGCATGCAAATGATCTCCAACGCTTCAAGCATTAAAGAGCGATTCTCAAGCACACTTAAGAGGATGCAAACATGGACATATGGCATGCAAGGTAAGCATTGAAAATCATGTTACAAAAGGTGCTAAGCCAATTAAACAAGATAAACAAGGCATGCAAACAAAGCCAAAAACCCAAGACAAGCCAAGAGGCTTAAACCAAGATTAAGTCAACCAAGCCTCACAAGGCTAAGAGGACTTAAAATAGGTCTAATGCGAACCTAAACAACACCCAAGGGACGCCTAGATGGCATCTAAGTGGCTCAAATTCAAAAGTATACACAATGACCAAAACATGGAGCATGCAAGACAAGCTTTCAAAGCTTCAAAGAGGCATCCAAAGCAAACATACAAGCATGTTAAAGGGACTAAAATATCATGGCAAATGGTTCGAACCCACTAAATTAAGGCAAAGATGCATGCTATGCATTCGCACACTTAAGGCCAACAAACCAAAAATGCAAAGGGGCTATACTAAGCATGCCAAAGTCGACCCAAACAACTAAGGACAGACCTCAAACATAGCAAAATAAGCACAAAAACTTCACAAAGCCAAGCCTAAAACATGCTAGAGCAATGGTTTACAACCTAAGGCATGTTAAGGCAATAAAGTGGCATTACAAGGCATGTATGCTAAGCAAGCATGGTGTACCAAAACCAACATACAACAATGCTATTTCATGGCAAAATAAGCATAAATAACAGCCAAGACATGGTCAACATGAGGCTTAGCTAGGTGCTCAATAAAGAGGCAAAAATGGCCCTTTTCAAGGACAACAAGGAGAGGGGGTGGTCCTCTCCTTCTTGGGACCTCAAGGCACCATCCTCACCTCTGCAATCCCTCAAGATTTCAGTGGTGAGGAGGCCCAAACACCAAGGTCTCGAAGCTTACATAAAATAGCACAAAATGGAGCCTCTCAAGGCTTAGGAGGGGTCAAACACCTCCAAACCACAAAACACTCTAAACAAACTATTTAGAGGGCCTAAAAACAGAACTTTTTTATATTATACACTAAGCTCAAAAATAGTTCTAAGATAGGCAAAAATACAATGGAAGAATGGGAAATAAAGGGACAAACTTCTTACCCTTGAAGACCTCCTTCACAAATGGTGGACCGGCCCCTTTCTTGAGCTTAAACCAGCCCCAAAACTCCAAGAACAAACCTCTGGCCCTTCAAGAATCAAGAAAAGGTGTAACACTATGTGTTTGTGTGCAATAGTAAGACACAAATACACTTAAACACACACAAGAGAGAGATATAGAGATAGGATATGTATGAAACCCTAACCCTAGAACTCAAACCCTAAAATGGCTGTCTAAAATGTCTAATCCTTTTTTTTCTAACCCTAAAGCCAAGAGAGGAGGGCTCCTCTTATAGAGAAGCCAATCTTGTAAAGCTTACTCAAGAAGCTAACAAGGAAGCCATCCCTCCATACACGTGTATGGAGGGGAACAAAATGCAAGCCAGCTATATTAAAATATCTGCAAAAGCAGATGAACAGTAGTCGGCTGCTCAAAATTTCCATTTTGACAAAATGTACTGCCGACCGGCAACAAAGAATGCCGACCGGCAATATACATTGCCGATGGCAACAAAACACGAGCCGGTGGCCTCTTGCCATGGCCGGTGATGTGTAGGGATGCCTCACAAGGCATTCCCTGCCCTTCCAAGGAAAAACACAAGTGCTTGGTGTCAAACCAAGCACAAAACAGTCGAGTTCGGAGATCTTGAGGTAAGGCACGTAGCCGAGACCTCCGGGAACGCCAAACGAACACAAACATGGATGATCACCGGGTGTTCAAACGGTGACGTACAAGTCTTGAGGACGGTCAAAAATGGGGTGTCTACACCTGCCCGTAAAAGTTTGGACATGACCGGCCTGACCTTAGGCCTCAACTTTGTTATCTTAAATTTCACTCAATCTTGAGGCCTGAACGGAAGAAAAATAATAGAATAAAACATTCATTGAGCTGTGACTAAAAGCCAGATCACAATGCATTACCATACAAAAGTACATAACATTCCATACACCATTCACGTTGACTGAATTTGTAAAAGGATAACAACCCAAAAGTTAGGTATTAACAATATATATATATATATATATATGTCTATTCTTCCAAATACCGACAAAACATGTCATCATACGGATTTTCCAAAAATAAAACAAAAAAGTCATTTCGGGTGACGCAACAAAACGGGTCCGGCAAAAGGCTCCTGGGCTGACCTAAGGTTGTTCTGCGAGCTGATTACCTACAAAACATCCATAAAAATGGAGTGAGCAAGGCTTAGTAAATGATTGTAATACAAACAAATTAAGCGTGTGAGCATAATTTAGCAGTGCATGTTTATAAATCACAAGTTGGTCTTATTCTTATTTCCTTTTTTGAACAGCCTCGGGCCCACATAAGACAGAACGGCCTTAGGCCCAACGTAATACATAATGGCTTTAATCCCATTATAATAGTAAAACGGCCTTAGGCCCAACGGAATACAAAACGGCCTTAGACCCATTATTATAGAAAAATGGCCTTGGGCCCAATGAAATACAGAACGGCGTTAGGCCCATTATAATAGCACCATAGAACAACCTTGGGTCCATATCTCCTGTGCCAATGT